TGAGGATGATCTTCTTGTGACGGAGATTAGGAGAGAACGAACCCATGCCAGAGGAATCAGAAGATGAGTTAGGGTTAAGGACAATTGATTTGGTGGGAAGGACGGCAGGGCATGAGCGGTTGACAGAAGAAACCACAGAGGGATGGATTACCAGAAACAGAGGAGGGGTTGACAGCAGAACCACAAAGGGATGGATTACCAGAAACAGAGGAGGGGTTGACAGCAGAACTACAAAGGGATGGATTACCAGAACCACAGAAGGACGGCAGGGCATGAGCGGTTGACAGCAGAACCACAAAGGCATGAGCGGTTGCCCTCTAGTAGATTATCTGAAAGATCAAGTGATCGAAGGCCATTCAAGGACCAGATTCCAGACGGCAACAGGCCAGATATATAGCTGATTGGAGGAGAAGTGAAGAGTGGCGAGGGTTGAACACGAGCCCAAATTCTGTGGGATCTGTCCTGACAAGTTGTTCCTCGCAAAGGATATTTCTCTTAAAGAACCACATTGCCGGAAAAAATTCATCTGGTATTGGTCCTAACAGGCTGTTATCACTAAGATCAATGACCCGCAGGCCCTCAAGTCGTGCAAGACTTGGGTTTATGGTCCCGGTGAAATTGTTGTTTGAGAGGGATAGTTTGCGAAGGAATTGCAGTTGGAGAACTCCTCGGCAAGACACCCAGATAGAGAGAATCCATCAGGAACAAGCTCAGAGACCCGGTTGGTTTTGGGGTCGCGTTTGAATCCTACCCAATTGCAGGGACTGTCATCGTCTTCATTCCAAGATATCAGTTTCGAGTCTGGATCTTGAGATCAGACTCATCCCCAAGCCCATCGTCGACATCAAAACACATGAAAGAAGAAGAGGAGGAAGAGAACGCATGGGAGGATGAATAGTGTAATGTGTTTCAAGTATTTTGCCTTTTTGTATCCGGTTCAACCGGATTCTTTAACTAACAGCTTAAACGTCCGTTAAAGTTAATAGATTTTAAACATGTTGACGTGGGCGTTTGTGATTGACGGGTTCACGCGTCCTGTGCACCCACGGGTGCACAGAACGCGGACTCCTTCGTATGGTGATATAACTAGTAAGAAAGGCCCATGCGATGCACTGAACCGACAAAAGTTTGATATATAGGAAGGTGTATGTAATTGTAAAGTCATTGTGATGACTTAGATTGATTGATTCGATTAGTGAATGAAAATGGATTTGACTCGTGACATTCCTCCGGGATTGCTACATGGTGATTGGTGTATGTAATTGTAAAATCACCGACTTTTGATCTAGCATCTGACATTGTAACTGATCAACCGACTAATGTTTAAAGTTGGCTAGTTGCTACATGGTGATTGGTGATTGGTGATTGGTGATTGGTGATTGGTGAGAGTACTACTATTATTAGACAGTGAAGGGACGGCAACAAACAAATAACAATAATCGGTACTGGGCCGGAATACCAACCTGCATCAAAATGCACCACACAGTGCTGCGTGTGTGTGGGCTTTGAGGCCATGAAAACTGCTTCAGCAGTCGGGGTCTGATAGAACAAAAAAATAAATAAATAAAAGAAAAACGGAAAATTACACTGCAGCATGCAGAATTTCTACATGCACATTTCTAAAATTTGTACATATTTTCAATCAATTCTCTATATATAAATTCTTTCAAATTTCAAACCTCACCAACCCTTCCAAGCCCGAGCCAAATCCAAATTGTATGTATTGGTTAGCTCAGGTTGGGCCTGGGTTGATAAATTTGAGCTTAACTTCAGGTTGGGTCAAGCCCAAGTTTCTTTAGCGTCGGGTTTGGGTTGACCTTCAACCTGACCAAGTTGCACCCCTAGTTTAAAACATTAGGATCGCTAAAACCTCTCCTAAAATTTCTGATTGTTGCTGAAATCTCCTCTAAAATTTTGTACCGGCAATCTTCTCTTCTGTACTTTATGATATAGTTGCAAATAGCTTCTGTTAGAATCGTCTAATAAGAAACACCAAAATGTTCAAAATCACTATGCATTTATTTTTTACCAAAATATTTATTTTCTAAATTTTTTCTTTATATCAATCTTACTCCAAGCCCTTCCAAGTCCAATCTCTTATCTAGAAAGAATTTATTTATTTTTCAAATTTGAGCATTGGTATTTTGGATTTGGGAAAATTCCACTTTAGTACCCTAAACTTGGGGGGTAGTGTCAAGTTAGTATTCAAACTTTTAAATGTGTCATTGCATACCCAAACTCTCAAAAAGTGTCAAATTGGTCCAAATCCATTAAACAACGTTAAATACCATATAAAAGGACAAAAAATGCCCTTTACCTATGGTTGTGATTCCCCTGTTCATCTAACATGCATGGTGTATCTCACCCACTCCCCCTCCTCTCTCTCTCTCTCTCTCTCTCTTCATGTCCTCTTTCTTCTCCCCTCTCCTCTTCATCTCTTTCCCTCTGTCTCACTTACATCATCATTTCCCCCTTTTTTTGGACCTCTCCCTCTTTACTGTAATTGAACCAAGTAATATCACAACCTCCATTATTGAATCTCTATTCAGGTCTCTCCACCACCAAGCTTTATTTCATCCTCGCCCATGAAAACGCTACTAAAGCAGCAGTGAGACAATCTTGCTCTGCAACCCCAAATCAATCTACATTCCAACATCCCACAACCAATGGAAATATAGCCCTACAATTTGGAGTCATTGGAGCTTGTTGATGATATCCTAAACCCCCCATTTCACATCATTATTTGCAGCACCGGCCATTCTCCATAGAATAGCAATGACTAGCCATTCTTTCATTGTCAATTCACTTAACACCAAGCCCCCTTTATCTTCTTATGAGGGGTAATTTGGTCCTCCAAATCACATTGCGACACGTGGCTTGTAAATGACACCTTGGCGTTGAGTAAGCGAATTGGCCTGACAAGTCGTCCTAAAGCACCTCACCCAGGCCGACCTCCACCTTGTTTAGGTCGAGCTAACAGATTTCTCAACTTATGACAACCTGCCATAGAGATCGACCGAGTTGTAGGAATTTATGGCAACTTGCCAGGCGAGCCCATTGACTTGTCTTGAAGATACGTTACCAGCTCGAGATCTCCAAAACATTAATGCATCAACCGTTAGACCGGCCTACCACACCACACACCTTAGAGTTACTCACGCAGATCTCATAACCAACGTAATAACTCACTTGACTAAGCGGAAACGACTCCTCGAGAAGATGAGACCCGTTGTAAGAGGGCTTAGACCACTGACGCTTATATAAGACACTCATTTCTACCTGTGAAGGTATGCGTGATTACAAGCTCTAAAGACTCTCAAACACTCTCTGACTTAAGCATCGGAGTGCCCACCCCAGGTAAAGACAACCCAGGCACTCTAACTCTTCCTCTTGCAGAACAAAACCAGCTCGGCCTGACAAGGTACAATTTGAATCAGAGTCCGAATCATCAAACATGCAAGAGGAGCCAGATCGCGCGACATCATCTTCCATTTCTCTCCACCATTTCACCACTGGTAATCAGTTGAGGTAGTAGTAGCCAAATACTACTATCATTCTCTATTTTTATCAAATTTATTTGTTTTAATCAGTTGTCAAATGTTCAAGCCAACACAAGGATTAATAGTCAAACTTGTTACACTTCCTAATCTATCGATCGATTCAATATCGAATCAACATAAGCCCTTCTCTTTCTCCCACTATTTTTCTCCCTCCATTTTTTTCTCCTAAAACCTTTCAATCACCTTCAAATTATTTCTCGACATCTCGGTCCACCTCTATCTCTATTTCTCTACGAGGATTCCCTTCTTTGTCTCTTTCGAAGGCTTTTAAATCTGTTAGTGAACCTAGCTATAGAAGAAAAGCAGAGGAAAAATGCTATCAAGGGTTAATGGTGTCATTGGGATGGAACCAAGAGACAAAAAGATGATGTTTCATGGACCAGGAACAACGTCGGAGGAGGAGCAGACAATAAAGACAAGATGGGCTCTCTATTTATGTTCAAGTCCATGGTCGAGGATGACTAGTATGTGAATAGCAACGGAAATCCATCTCACCATGACTTTCAAACCATCCAAAGCTATCATGAAATCAAAGGCATTGCTTTCTCAATGTTATTATGGTTCAGTATTAAGGTAGAAGACAATGAACAGTGTTTTGTTTTCAATAGTAGTTTTGATATTTTAAAAAATTTTAAATTGCACATGTCATCACGTGATAAGATAATTGACGGACCGTTAACAGTAGAGACTAAATTGACACTTTTTGAAAATTTGGGTAATGCATTGACACATTTGAAGGTTCAAGTACTAACTTGACACTACCCCCAAAGTACTTGTAAGAGGATTTTAAGAGGGTATTCTTGAAACTGTGTTAAAAGTTATGGGAGGTGATTGCCATTGCCAAAATTAGGAGAGATTTCAGCAATGATTGAAAACTTAGGCTCAGTTTGGAAGGAGTACAAATGCAAATATGTAGAGTGCAAAACCTTATATTTTGTATTATTATTTTTATATTATTTACACTGTACATATTTGCATTTATACTGTTTCCAAACTGAGCTTAAAAAGGAAGGTTTCATCAATTTACCCAAAAATTAAAACAAAATCAGATGCCCAGTTGTGGTAGGAATTAGGAAAATTCTAACCGCAAGAGCCAAAACTTGCCGGTGTAACGGGAATACGTTGATCCGGTCGGACCGTCAGGGGTGCCGCCACCTTGAAGATTCCTGGCCTGGGCCCTGGGTCGTTTTAGATGTTGTCCGTCAACGGTGTCTCGTCCACCAGAAGCCCGTTCCGAAAGTAAATAACGGAAAGAGAAAATATCTTCTGTCATGTTTTACCCTGAACGGTCAGCAGGACAGACAGCAAACGTGGCCAGCCACAGCCAGTGATCAGAATCTGGATCCAGGAGATTCTTCTGGGCTAAGCCCATTCCGTGTTAAGCCCAGAAGTCCCGAATACCAACTAAAACCCTCCCCTTTGAGTTTCGACGACAAGCCTCCTCATCAGACGATCATCATCGTCCGAAGCAGCAATTCAAGCGCTTGGACTTGATAAGAATCTTCATCCCTCGTTCGTTGGATAGCTGTGCAGTCGTAACTACAGTGCTCCCCGAACTATCCAGTGTTTGCCCAACGGCAACGGCAGAAAAATCAGAAAAGTCGAAATGCTAAGGCCAAACAAAATTGCGAGAGAGGAGAGGCTAGAGTGCGTTTGGGTTTGACTACCGTTTGGCCCGCGTCGGTTCTCTTAAGTGTGCGAGTGACGTTATCGTCGGTCAGATGCACGGCCGACGGCGTTCTTCTGCTCCTCACGCTCAGATGGTGGGGACGGAACCTGATGCTTATCCTCTCCTCCATCCCAATTTAATCCCCTCCTCCACTTCCGGCGTACCTTAGCGTCTCTATCTCTTGCCAACGCTTAACGTTGTCATTCACATTCAACCGCCCGGAATACCTCCCTCCCGTTCCGATCATCCCCAGCGACGGTCTTTGTTCGGAAACACCAGCTGAGCTTATTAGCTGATGATGCGGGACTCGATGGACGACCACGCTGCTCATAACATCGTCCGACCCCACCACCACCATCACCCGCTCCACTCTTTTCCTCACGGTGGCGGTGGAGGTGGTCGGGAAGACTGCTGGAGTGAGGGCGCAACCGCAACCCTAATCGAGGCTTGGGGCAACCGTTATCTACATCTCAGCCGTGGCAACCTCCGTCAGAAAGACTGGAAGGAGGTTGCCGATGCCGTTAATGGCCGTCAAGATGGCCTTAAGTCACGTAAAACGGATATCCAATGCAAGAACCGGATCGACACCTTGAAGAAGAAGTACAAGCTCGAGAAATCCAAGCCCGGTCCTTCGAAGTGGCCTTTCTATTCCCGTCTTGATCAGCTAATCGGCACCACCGCGACGGCGACAAACAAGAAGATCACGCCACACCCGCTTCCTTCTTTTCATAAGTCCGCTCCCGTCTCCTTCACCCTTAAGCAAAGTAAAGATAAGATAAACCCTAACCCTAACGCTGCAGTGTATTCTGGTGGATCTTCTTCCAAGTCTAAGCTGAACTCCGCGGGTTCTACCGAGAGTTCTCGAGGCGGTAGCGGTGACGAAAGGGATGACGATATGGTGTTTGATGAAAGCGTTAAGAAGCGTCAGATAGATCGAGATTCATCCGATGCAGCCGCGTTTAGGGAGTTGGCGAGGGCTATTCTTAAGTTCGGCGAGATTTACGAGAGAATTGAGAGTTCGAAGCAAGAGCAGATAATGGAGCTGGAGAGACAGAGGATGGAGTTCACCAAGGATCTCGAGTTCCAGAGGATGCATATGTTTATGGAAGCTCAGCTTGAGCTTGAAAAGATGAAGCGCCCCAAGTATTCTTCCGGCACAGGTGAACTCCATGCCTCCTCTCCTTGCTTGCTTTGTCTTGATTATTCCCGTGCTTGAGCTTGACAATTCGCAGTTTAATGATTGGTTGATTGAAGTCCATTGTTTTTAGGGTGGAATCTTCTCTACCTTCCTTCCTTCAATCCCCTACCCAATCCAAATTGAAATCCTTCAATCCCCTAGTATGTCATAGATGTTAATGGGGCATATGAGGACTCAAAAATGTTATGAAAATTGAAGAAATTAAAAAGTGGAGCTACCTTTTTACTGGAGAATTCTCCCTGTTCCTATTCTGTTTTAACTTTTAATGGTTGCCATTTATGATATATCTTTGAATCCGGTATAACCTCTTGCCGTCAGTATTGCAAGGACAGGGACACGAAACTCAGAATCCGGCACATATCCGGTAGTCTGACTTGGCAATACTAACATGGGCTAGCAGTCATATTTAAATAAAAGTATGTACTATTAACACTCCATATATTTTGATGCCTAACATCTCATACCTGTAGAAAAAGTTGTAACTTTTATTATTTTCACTTGGTAATGTTCTACTGGAAAACTGGTATTCATCATGTACTTTTTTTTTTTTTTTTGATAGATAATTCATCATATAGGTTTTCTGCTGTTCATTTATGTCAAACAAGCAATGAGGAAAAAGGAACATGTTATATGAAAGTCTCCCTTAAGAATTCATGTACTGTCAGAATCTGATGTGTGCGAACCATTTAGTACATGCCTAGCATGCCTGTATAGGGATATGATGGACCAGCTTGACATTGGTCACTGGATACTACATGTATCAGTTGTAACTTTAGACATATTCAATACCATTAACACTTTAAAAATAAATAAAATGGTATCATTTAACAAATCATACTATAAAATATGTACATTTTAGGAATTTGGTTAAGTTTGACATGACATAAATGTTGAGAATATCATGACTTCAAAAAACTATATACAAAAGCATGCTATTTGCATATTATATGTGATATCCTTATGTGAATGAGTTAGGGATTATTTAAATGTTGTATTCCCTTTTCCTATATCTGTGTATATATTGGTATCCATATTTGGGTATCATAGCTTGTTGCTTGCATACAAGTATGCTAAAGTTCATAATTGATCTGGGAAAAATGTTTGAATTTCCTGAACCATCAGCTTCAAGTTTGTTTCATGTGATTGCTGTTTGTAGACACCAGAAGAATGATGACTGGGGCTTAGAAGGCAAAGAAAATGTTTGTGACATATTAAATCTGTCAATATCATGTCTTTATCCTACATTAAAAATTTTGGTTGTGAAGAAACCCATACAAGGGAATTAGAAGGAAAAGAAGACAGATCAGTAAAAGCTAATTGAAAAGGCTAACTTTGTGGATGGCTGGATGCCAAAGAAACTTTTGGCTTATTAAGAACTTTGTGATACCATTCCACTTCCAGGCCATTAATATTGAACTACTGTTGCTGCCCCCCCCTGTGTAGCCCCTTGGAGCAAAAAAGAAAAAATCAAATTAAAAAAAAATTAAGGCCAAAATGAACTTCCCAAGATGATGTGCATGAGACTAATAGTTGTCAAGGCGAACCTAGGTGGGCGCCTAGGCGACAAGGCGCCCTTGGAGGCTTGCCTCGCCCAGTCACCTAGCAGTTTTGTATTGTGTCTTATAAAATACTTTTAAATTGTTACTTTTTTGAGAGTATAATTATAAAATAGACATTATTAAGCAAAAATATTCATTTTTTGTGTTTATAAACTATTTTTTTTATTATTTTCTTATTTGTTAGGGTTTAATCAACACAAACATTGCTAACTGCTGTATTGAA